GGCGCGTGACCGCCATCGCGCGCGGTGAGGGGAGGCGGGGAGGGGGAGGGGGAGGGAGCGAGGTGGCTGCTTGTGCGTCGGTGGGTGGTGGGTGGTGTTGGCGGAGTGGACGGGCCGGGACGGGAAGGGAATCAAGCGGAGGGTGTGGAGCGCAGGGGAGCGGATGGGTGGATTGGATAGGGGGGAGGCCGCGGGAGCCAGACGTGCCGCGGCTGCGCCTGGTGGCTGGCTGCGGCTGGTGCCGGAGAGCGGAGACTGAAGCGGACGATGCGACGCTCTGGTTGGGCGTTTTCCCTCGGTTCTGCCCCACACCTCGCCGCTGTCCTTTTCGGCGTTGAGCTTTCGCGAACCTGGCGCCGTTCCAGGCTTCCAGCCCATTTGTCCGTCCAGCCAGAATGTTGGAGCTGCCAAAGCATTTTCTTTTTCTAGTGGTTGGTAGCTGCCAAAGCATTGAAGAGTTCAAGTTTGTCTTCTTGATGAATTTTATTGTCCCAAGATGAAATATCAAAAGAATACCAACACAATACATACATCGATGCACCCAACCAACACCAACACACGCACACAAGAACACACCAACAAATAGCAAAGTCATATAAACACAGTTATTCGTACGTGAGGGGGAAAAAACCAAAATGATCAGATACACAATCGGTAAACTACACTTACGAAATGTGTAAAGTTTCCTTCCATTCATAGGGCAAGAATATAATAGGAATAGAACAACTATATTAAGTGGGATGGGTTAGACATGTCATCTGAGATGACATGTATCTTCAATTCTATGATAAGAGATAAGGAAAGATATTTCATTTGGTTTCTCATTGATATGTTTTATTTTTCATTGAGTCTAAACTAATGTTTCTTTTCCTTTGAAATATGGAGGATAGTAATCATTCATGTATGCGAATATAATTCCATTCCTGCCAATGTTGAGGATATCGCTTATCGTTATCGTCTCGGTCAGCTGGGGATTAGAGATTAATTGGAAATTGGCCAATTAATCGATTTTATCGGTCGACTATTAATTGGCCATTTTTTTGCAAAATCCCAGGTTACCAGCACTAAATTATGCTATATTCAACACCAAAAAATATTGGACAGAAGTGTTACCTTGATTGCTAGCCTTTTAATCCTCGTACTCCCTCCGTCCGAAAATACTTGTCCTAGAAATGGTTGTATCTAGACTTACTTTAGTAGATACATCCATTTTATTCATTTTTAGGACAAATATTTTAGGACGGAGGGAGAATAATGAAAAAATAGGACAACTGTATATATTGCATAACAAGGTTCACAAAACACAAAAAAACATAGTTTTTGCAAACATAGTGCTAGGAATATGCCAAATTTATCGGTACATTCTCGATAAATCAATTATCAGAGCGGTAAATCGGCCCAAACGATAAATGGTGAAGATAAGGCATAATCTTATCGGTCACCCCCCAAGTAGCGATTAATCGGACGATTTCTTGAACAGTGATTCCTGCAAATCAAAGTGCTCTAAACATTTTTTCCTACGAAAGTCATATACTGTAGAATTCCTACAAATTTCATGTAAACAAAAGAAGGCATACAAATATGATAATATTTACATCATTAAACATATATAAAATATGAACACACATTTACGATGAATCGTATAATTAATAGATGTTGTAGATACATTTCTCTGTAAACTTGATCAAATTTAATGAAAGTTGAATTGGGACACAGCTAGATTCCATAGCATCATGCCAAAGTTTATTTGATTGCACCAGATTTTGTCAAGCGGTTTGAGTGGATGAAAAAAAAAACTTGTGAAACACAGTCTACGTAATTTCTTAGGAAAATACTACAAAATTTAAGTTGCACATTCAAATAACCCATGTATGAAAATTCCTAAGACTTTAATCCTCCAAGATTCATATGAAAACCCTAACCGCGCCGCCAGCCGCCCCTCCCCGCTCCTCCGCCGCTTCGCCGCCGCCGGAGGGGACACCGGCGAAGCCCGTGTGGTCCCCAGGGAAGGTGGCGGTGGGGCGTACTCGTCGTTCTCGCGCAGATCTCGCGGCGGCCAGTGGCGCGCGGCGGTGTTCCGCCGGGGGCTGGCGCCTGCTGCCCGTGAGGCGGCGTCCCTCACGGCGGCGGGGCTGCCCCTGAACGGCGCTTGGTAGTGGCCACGTGGCGGCGCGTAGGTGGGCCGGATCTGGGCTTCCGGTCTGCGTCCTCGTCGTGGCAGCACTTGCCGTTGCCCTTGGCCATGAGGCGTGGTCCGGGACGGGCCTAGCGCCGGTGGTGCTGGCCAGGATGCACGCTGGCAGCGCCCTACTTCATCTCGCGTCGTCTCGTTGGCCAATGGTGGTGGTCATCTTCGTCGTCAAAGATGGTCGGCCAGAGGCTTGGTGATCGGATCTCGAGATCCATCATCTAGTCCCGGCTGCGAGTTGGGGAGACATGGTTGCCGGTGAAAATCGAGCCATTGGCAGGCGATGGTGACGTTCTACGTCGTTACCTTGATGGAGGCATTACCGTGTAACTACTGTCGACCGACTCGTGCTACTCTGGGGAAACCCTAGGATCTGGTGTTCCAGATCGGACGATGGCGGCACTGCGGTGTCGTTTCTCTCTTGGGAGCATCGTTTGTGGAGCAGCGCTGGAAGTCAGAGCAGGAGGTGGAGCGGCTTCGTCTTGCACGGAGCTTCGGTGAAGATGTCAAGTCATGCTTGACCGACATGTGCTACACTTTGTCATGCTTGGTCGGCTGGTGCTACGCACGACAGATCTTCCAAAGACTTCAAGCTGTGTCGGCTGGTGGTACTTGGCAGCATGGTGCTGAGGTGTATCAGTGGCGATCGCGACGTGCACAGCTGTTTGCGCGCAGGGAGGAGGTGTCGTTGGGCGCCGTGATGGCGTCGACGATAGCTAGACCAACCAAGGTTGATGCATCAGTATAGTTCTGAAGATGGAGCGGTGGCAGTTGGCGGCCGCAGCCTCTGAGAGCACGCCGGACTGGCGAGATCCATGCCTGACAGGCGTCCTGGATGGGTCCTCAGGTCTTAGATGTTAGGTTTGGCTGCGATGTCGGTTTCGTATTAGGTCCAGGCTATCTGCGCCCCTTCATCAACTGGATAGGTGTAGCGACAGTTTGTTGCTTAGACTGCGGCTTTAGTCTTACTGTGGTATTACTTTGTAAGGTCTTGTGAGAATAATTAATAAAGTGGTCGTATGCATCGCCCAGATACAGAGGCTGGGGGTCATCCTCCTTTTCTAAAAAGTATGAAAATCCTTTGGATCAAGAGACCTTTTACTTCTTCACGAGAAATGCTGGACAAGTACACCAATGAAATAGAATCTGAAATTTATAATTTATCAAATATATGGAGCACAGCTGAAAATCTTGACATGGTATTGCTGGTTAGCTGGTGTTTTTAAAAACACATGTGTTACCGCAGTGCTGCGGTTAGATTATGTTTGAAGGAAAACGCCCCAAAAATTAACACACTAGGCATTGAAGGCAATCACTTAATCCACCAAATGGGATGTACCAATGTTGCATGAAAAAGAAAAGAAATACTACTTCCTCCGTCTAGGTGAATAAGTCATACGCGTAGTCCTTTAGTGGATTAAATGATCTCTTGCTTTACTCTAAACTTAAACTTTGCATGAAAAAGAAAAGTAATATTATCTCTTGCTTTACTCTAAACTTAAACCATGCAGTCTATTTAGTATAGTGATTATTGTAAGCTCTATGAGAGCATCGATTTTGCTTACTGTATATAGCTATACATATGGGGATACACTTTGAAGTCTATGGGCATATAGTTCTAGTTATCTTAAGCTTTCAGTATTCATTAATTCTTGATTTGAAACATGTACTTAGATTATTATTACTAGCAAAAGAGCCCGTGCGTTGCAACAGGAGAGTAAATAACACACGTTCTTAACCCAATAACCATGACTCAAGACCCTAATGTGTTCACGTCCTTTATTTTACATGCATCACATTTGTGTTGTTGATGGTGGTCTCACTGCTCACACAACAAAAGCGTGTTTGAATGCAGTCAGTTCTAAGGCGTCTCTCTCTCGCGCACACTCGCTCGAAATAAAATGAGAAATATGTTCTTTTTCCCCGCGAAGCTTTTCACAGGTGTGCATGCATGGTTATCGATGGTTTCTTTCCTCTCTATCAGTAAGAAAGAAAAACGGACCGTACATTATAGATTAATTTCACACTAAAATAATATTTTAGAAATATTTAACAGCAAAAACTAGCATCATATTTAGATTCTACACATTTTTCTAATCAAGTTTCATATATAACAAGTTAAAATCGAAGTTACGATTTAAAAGATATTGATAATTTTGTTTTAGATAAACTATGGATTGATTAACTAAAAATTCAGGGGGTTTTATGTTAAAACGAAAAAACGATTCGGTTGACTTAAATGTGGATGGTGGGTTGATTATCTAAAACATCAGGGGTTTATTTACGGATAATTTTGTTTGAGATAAACTACAGGTTTATTTATGAAATATAGAGGGGCTTTTTTGTAAAATGCATGATGGACGACCAGAAACCCAATTTTCTTTATTATTAGGTAAAGATTTTTACCGATATAGGTATAGCTATGCTTTGATTATTCATTAATTCTTGATTTGAAACATGTACTAAGATTATTATTATTTTTACCGCTATAGGCATAGCTATGCTTGCCCACATACAAGCACATGGAGCATACACCAATTAGTTTTTTCCAAGAACCAAGAACCGTAGAACAACCGTTCTACAGTGCATACAACAATGGTTATCTAAGCTAAGCTGATTTACGTACTGAGTACTGCCAGCCTGAACCAAATACAAAAAGGCAAGCTCGTATTTAGGTTGAGCTTCAACATCAAACAAACATCCACTACCACTCTAAGTCTCTACTGGCCATCATGTTCCACAGCATCTGATACGCGCCGTCGATCGATAGCCGGGCGCGCAGAATCGCACGCAGAACTCGTGCTCCTTAGCTTCTTGTCGCTTGAAAC